AGAGATAAACATGTTGACAGGTTAGCTATTCAGAAAACTTCAAAGTTAGATATTTGCTTATTATTTTTGCTCTCCCCCCACCCACAAATAAAACAGCAAGAGAATTGTTTTGTTGTGTTTTTTGTTTTGTTTTGTTTTGTTTTTAAAGAACAATCCTTAGCCCTAGCTGGTTTGAATCCGTTGATAGAGCATTGGCCTGCGGACTGAAGGGTTCCGGGTTCGATTCTGGTCAAGGGCACGTACCTCGGTTGCAAGCTTGATCCCTGGCCCTAGTCGGAGCAAATGTGGGAGGCAACCAATTGATGTGTCTCTCTCACATCGATGCTTCTCTCTCTGTCTCTACCCTTCCCTTCCACTCTCTCTAAAAATCAATGGAAAAATATCCTCGATGAGTATTATTTAAAAATAAAAAATATAAAAATATATAAAAAGAACAATCCTTAGATCTGTTCGCAGCACACTATAAATCAATATTACAGCAAAAGCCTAGTGTTCACCTCAACAGTCTCAAATTCCTTGAGCCTTCCCAAATCAATTCTTTTTTTTTGCTCCATTCTCTTTGCAGTCATCTGCTAAATAACATTGCCAGATAACTTACACCACTCATTCTGTTAACTCTGAAAATGGGCAGTGTCTGGCCAAAGTCTGCCATGACTGTAGTATGTTTAAATGGCAGAAACTCCCCACCCGAGGCTTAAGATTGGAATCCAGACTTGTCCCTGCTGTCCTGACATCTGATTAAGAGGACATTTTGAGAGTGCAGTCCTACATTTTAACTGACCTCCCTGACTGCATCTCAGGAGTTTAACAGCAGCAGCAGCAGCAGCATCTGGATATTAAAACATCACCCTGATTTCCTGGGTTGTTTTCCTCCAAAACTTTCACCAAACTTTCCCCACACGGCAGCCCACTCAAGGCCAGGCAATCGGCTGCCATTAAATGAAACGATTTGCACCAGTTTCCAACTGGACAGTGAGTCAGCTCCCTGCTGTAAAGTAGTCTCCGAAGCTGGAACTAGGGAGGGTGTTTCAAAAGGCAGAGGGCAATCCTGGGTCCACGTCCTGAACTATTGGAGATTAGATGAAGCAGCAGGCACCACTCCACAGCACCAACCAGATTTCAGCTCTCAACTGAATGAGCATGAGTGGCTACAAGGGACGCTGAACTCCCAGGCCATTTTCCCATACCTCACCACTTCTGCAGTCATCAGAAAAGCCACGTTCTAAAACACATCTGGGGAGAGGGAAAATATGTAGTGCTAGCAGCTGAATAGCTTCCCCTACTCCTTCTCCCTGAAGGCAGAGTATACCTGCCCCCCACCCCCCACAGTCTTATTTCTAAATGGCAAGTTGGTTTGGTGGTGGTGATTGTGTGTTTTGTTTTTTTGTAAGTATGTTATTCAATTTGGAAAACTGCAAAGGACATGTTAGTCTTAGCCAGATCCTAAGAGGTAAGCAATTAGAGTAATGAAACAAAATAACAGGTGGCTACTTTGGGGCCTCCATCATCAACCTAAAAAAAACACCTTCTTGGGCCCTAGCTGGCTTGGCTCAGTGGTTGGAGCGTTGGCCTGCGGACTGAAGGGTTCCTGGTTCGATTCCGGTCAAGAGCACATGTCCAGGTTGCGGGCTCAATCCCCAGTAGGGGTTATGCAGGAGGCAGCCAATGATTACACTGATGTTTCTATCTCTCCCTCCCTCACCCTTCCTCTCTGAAATCAAAATATATTTAAAAAAACAAAAAACCTTCTTGGAGAAAAACAAAACACCATCAGACCTTTCAAATAATTAACTCACATCTGATACAGCCTGAGCCAAAGGTCAGAATCTAAACACTGAGGCCCCATAAACAGTGATGTTTCAATGAACATGCAAGCTTAGCAAAGGCGGCATTTCCTCTTGCTGTGATAAGTTCTAGAGCAGCTGTCACCAGACCTCACCTATCCAGGAGAATAGGTGGTGACCAGGCTACTCAAGCCCCTTTCAGTTCTGGAAGAGGGAACTGTAGCCCAGAACTATAATTGCTGGAGCACTTACTCAAAAATCAGGCCTGTCCTTCCCCTACCCCCCAGGAGAACTCCCAGGGTCTTCTTGTGTCATAACTGTTGCATAACCTACTTATCAGGAAATGCCTTGGTTACAGAGATCCCTAGAAGTCAGAGCAAAGGTAAAAGCTTTAGGTAAAAATAAGAACCACAGGAGCCACAAACACCCTCTGACTTGGGCCAATCCTTGTTTAATTCCTAGAAGAATTCAATTCCACACGCTTTAAGGGCCTACAGATGTCCTGGACACAGCTTTTTAGAGTGAGAATGCACAAAACATTTACAGAACTGCCCTTCTCCCTGTGACTAGTGGCTCAGCCTTGAAGAGGCAAGAAGGCAATCTGCCATTCACTAAAGCAACGCTGCAATATAGAAAAATCCAACTATCCTGTTTGGGTGGGG